TCATAATCCAGCACAGCCCCACTGGATGGATGGGGAATGGACCAAGTCAGGCTTAAGCTGCTGGGGGATGCTCCTGTCACTTGGATATCTGATACTGGAGGTGGTACTAGAGAGAAACAGGTCAGGCAAGTTAAGGCCCTTCCTTACTCCAAACTTGCCCCTAATCTGCCAAGTGCTTTCCTTGCCCTTCCCAATCTCTTCAGTCTCCCCATTGTTCCTATAATCTCTTTCTCAGCTCTGCCTAGTGCTATGATCTCTCTTCTGTGTCCTTCAGCCCTAGGTCAATCTTGAGCTCTCTACAGATCTCCACTCTTGAGTACCTTTGTTCTCCTTTTTTCCGTTATAACCTCAACCCAACTAGACTCTGCTGGTCTCCCATCTACTCAGCCCATTTGTCCCTGCTAATCGGTCTTTTACTGCTAGTTTCCTACATTCCTCCTGGTCTCTCCATGCCCCGTCACACTGCTTATTTATCCCTATTCTCTAGTCCCTAATTCCCCAAACTTACCCTCTCGATCTGTGGTGACATTGACTGCTTCCACCGGAATGGGCCCAAGGGCCACAGAGGACACCCCATTGATGGCCATGACCTCAAAGGCATAGGTAAAGTCAGGACGGAGCCCTTGAACTCCTACCCAGGGCTCTGCCAGGTTTTCAGGACCTGGATCAAAGGTCAGATCTCTTCCACATGGTACACAAGAGCCGCGTGGATGGCATTCGTGGCAACGAAGGGCATAAGTCAGGTCCCCTCGGCCTCCTGATTCAAGAGGAGCACTCCACTCCAGGCGAAGAGATGAGCCGTTGAGACGGGCCACTACACTTCGTGGGGCTGAGGGCGGTGCTGAAGGACACAGGGAGGACAGACGTAGAGAAGTAAGGACAGAGGCAAAGACAAAAGGTAACATTCGGTGGGACAAATAAACAACTCACAGGGAGACATAGAGGAACAGAGAGAAAAATACACATACATAAAGAAAAAGAAACAGAAATAATCCCACCAGATAGACAGACAGAGGGAGAAAGGGGCAGAGACAAACAAAAGTCAGTGTGCTTTCTTATGAAGCACAAAACCTTAAATAGTAAATGCTTAATAAAGATTGGTTGAGTTGAACTGAATGGAGCTATAGGTGGTGTGTGTTGCTCAATTTTTTATGATTGAGGGACAAAATGCTTGACTCCTGAAGAGGTCTGTTAGAGATCACCTTGCTCAAACCCCTCCCCCCACAACAATTCTAAAGATGATGCCAAGGCATCATCAGATTTCTGGGCCCCAGTTACTTACTGGTACAAGGAGCTCCCAGGGGGTCTTTGGGGGCACGAAAGTAGCCAATGCGGCACTGGCAAATGGTGGAGCCAAAGGAGTTGGACTGGCTATTAGCTGGGCATAGCTGGCATGACCCCTCTCCTGCAAGAGGCTTGAAGGCTCCCTGCATACAGGCTGTGGAAGAAAAGCAACTAATCACCAAAACCATTTTCTACTCCCCAATACAGTTCACCTGATTCCAAAGTTTCATGAATACCAGCCAATAGTAGAGAAGAGAAGGGAGAGGGTCAGGAACCCAGAAAGAGAGGGGAAAAGGTGTTCACCTATAAAGAGAAAATATACAGAAAAAAAAAAAAAGAAAAGTAGTCAGAGGTCATACTGAATAAGTTAGGTCCACAAGGTTTTTGTCCCCTGACCCCAATCCTGGTCAAGACCTGATGAAATTCTTTGTGCTTAGGTTAAAATTCTCTAAGGTAGGGAAAGGGATGTAAGAATGTGGTTGAGGCTTGAGAAAGAGGCTAAAGTGGAGAGAGGAAAGATTAGAGGAAGATTACAGGTGACTTAGAGTCACGAATTTTGAATCTGGCCTCAGACACTTATTAGCTATGTGACCCTGGGCACTTATTCACTGAGTCTCAGTTTCCTTTTTTATAAAATGAGGATAATAATGGCACCTATTTTGAGGGCTGTTGTGAAGATGATTTGAGAGAATATACATAACGTGCTTTGTAAATCTTAACATGCTACATGAATGTAGTATTATTGTAATTAATTAATTGTAATGTAATTAATCAATTAAGAGAGTTATGGTTGATGAATCCATGCATCGTGGAAACATTGGAAGTTCCAAAAGAAAGGGAATTTACTGTATTCCATTTGTTCCAATTGAGGCTATAGTAAGAAAGTAGATCTCATGGGATACTTCCTGAAAAGAAAGGCTAGAAAACCTGAGAGAGGGGAGACCATTAGATATAGAAACAGAAGAGCTGTAGGAACTAAGAGGGACGAATTCTGGGAGTCGTAGAACCCTAGATTAGAGATTGCAAGGACTTCAGAAATCACGAGTTCTAACCTATTAATCTTAAAGATGGGAAAGTAACTTCCGCAGGATCCCATAGCTAATAAATAGCACAGTCAAGACTCAAAACTCAGGTCCAATTCTCTTTATATTACACCACACTGCCTGCTTATGGATAAAAGAAAGGTGGGGCCAGGGGTTGGGGTGAGCAACATATGGGAACAACCCTCACCTCGGCATTTGGTGTTGTCTTCAACTGCTTCGTGGCCAGCAGAGCACATACACCCAGTGACTGGTTGCTCTGCCCACTGGCCATCTTCCCGGCAGTAGAGGCTAGGACCAGGGCCAGAGGCTGGGACAGCATCTGCCACACAGCTCCCAGCTACCGGCACCACTAGTTCATGAGGTACAGTCTCAGGGAAGTGGGTCAGGTTGACGGTCAGCTGGGGGCATTTCTTATAGAAGAGGTGGAGGGATAGCAGGGCCATGCAGGCACCCTGGTCTTGAAAGGCCAGGTAGAAACCAGCCTTGGTGAGAGGGCCCAGTCTCAGGGTCTTCACATTCACCTTCCCAGTTGCCTCAATCCCTGGACGCTTCCGAGTCAGGTGCTCTGCTGCAACTGTGTCCACCTATCCAAGTTTGAGGGGGATGCAATGTTTACATCTGTAACTGTTTCACAGGACTCATGTATACTATTGCCAATGCCCCAGTTCTGTTCTGAGTTCTCCCTAGGACCCCATTCTTCTTCTGGAGTCCATGTCCTGCATTGTTTTTCTCTCATACCCCTTCCAGACTCTAGCTTCATCTTCAACATCCCCTTCACTCATCCCCTCCCACCCAAGTCTTCCTTCCCTTCCCAAGACCAAGGCACCGGGCTTCCCTAGTCCCCTAGTTTTCCCCTAAATAAAGCTCTATTTAGAAAGGAGAGATCTGTTAATTTCACATAGTCCCCTCCCTCTCCCCCATTCCCTACTTGCCAGCTCACTCCCCAACCTTTATGTATTCAATGCTTCAGGGTCTAGATACCTTGATATAGGGGTTCTCCATCCAAGACGGTGAGTGGGCAGTAGCAGTGTCAGCATCACTCTCATAGTAGAAAACAGTGAAAGTCTCCTTGCAGGCACGCCCAGCCCGGGGCAGTGATAGGCATTCCAGCATGGTAAACCGTAAGGTGGCATAGACAGTTCTTGCCCCTTTCCGGGGCACCCAACCTGTTCGAAGCCAATGGGGCTGCCCCGGTGGCCGCTGTACATCACATACTTCATATGTCCGAACACTATGCTGCTCTTCATCCAGTCCGCTCAACTCTTCCCACTATGCAGAGAAGAGGTGCTATGAGTAGAGGCAATGGGAATGTGGGAAAGGGAAGGGAACAGAAGTAGCAAAGAGAATTGGGGGGCAGCTAGGTGGCACAGTGGATAGAGCTCCAGCCTTGGAGTCAGGAGGACCTGAGTTCATATCCGGCCTCAGACACTTGACACTTACTAGCTGTGTGACTCTAGGCAAGTCACTTAACCCCACTGCCTCACCAAAAAGAAAAAAAAAAAAAGGATTGGGCCTCTCAGACCATCTGGTAGGGAATCTGGATCAAAGGTCTATGCATGGCAAGATGGTAGCAGAAGCTTAGATCAAAGGTTCATGTGTAAGAGGTTAGAGGGCCAAGGCTCAACAGTTGCAATTTCAGGGCCGGTTGGGTCGGCCTTTAAAGAGAGAGTGAAGAAGACTGAACAGGGGAAAGTGAAAGTTGGGAGAGAAGAGATATCTGAGAATCTGAGGATCTAAGAGCCAAAAGACTAGGCCAGGGAGACTAATGGTAGGAAAGCTTAGGAGATAAATACTTGGAGGGTTGAGGGGGTAAGATGTGTCTTTATCCTGTAAATTTCATCCCTCCACCCCATAATCCCTTCTTCAAGTCAAGTCAAGAAGTTTGTTAAGTACCTTCTATGGGCCAAGAGCTGTGCTAAACTTTAGGGATTAAAAAAAAAGGCAAAAAATGGTCTCTGATCTCAAGGAGCTCACAGTCTGATGGGGGAGACAACATGAAAATGTCTATGTACAAACAAGATATATTCAGGATAAATTGGAGATAATATCAGAAGGAAGGCACTACCATTAAGAGGGAATCCGGAAAGGCTTCCTGAGGAAGGTGGGATTTTAGTTGAGACTTGAAGAAAGCCAGGGAAGCCAGGAGGCAGGTGAGGAGGGAGAGCATTCCAAAGATGGGAACAGCCAATGAAATTCGGAGAGTCAGGAGATGGAGTGTCTTGTATGAGGAACAGCAAGGAGGCCTGTGTCACTGGACCAGAGTACATGGAAGGGAGGTATAAAGGACCAGAAGACTGGAAAGATAGAAAGGGGGCAGGTTATTAAGGGTGTTAAAAGGCAAACAGAGGATTTTACATTTGATCCCAAAGGTCATAGGGAGCCATTGGAGTTGACTAATAAGTGACACGATTAGACATACTTTAGGCATCAAGGTAGCATGGTAGATAGACTGCTAGGTCTGGAGTCAGGAAGATTTGAGTTCAAATCTGACCTTAGATCCTTGTTGTCTATGTGACCCAGGGCAAATCATGTAATGTCATGGTTTGCTTCGGTTTCCTCAACTGTAAAATAGGTGTAATAATAACACCTACCTCCCAGAGTTGTTGTAACTATCAAATAAGAAAAATAATTGTAAAGCACTTAGCACAGTGCTTCACACATCGTAGGGACCTAATAAATGCTTATTTCCTTCCTTCCTTCCTTCCTTCCTTCCTTCCTTCCTTCCTTCCTTCCTTCCTTCCTTCCTTCCTTCCTTCTTCAGTTTGACAGCTGGGTGGAGGATGGACTAGAGTAGGGAAAGACTTGAGTCAGGAAAATCAACTAAAAGGCTATTGAAATAGTTCAGGTGTGAGGTGATGAGGGCCTACACCAGGGTGGCAGCTATGTGAGTAGAAAGAAAGGGATATATACAAGAAATGCCAGGAAGATAGAATCAACAAGACATGGGAATAGATTAGAAATGGGGCGGGGGGGGGGTGGCAAGGTAGGAGAGAGTGATGAGTTTAGGATGTCATCTCAGCTCTGAGGTTGGAAGCCTCAGCAACCAGGTTTAATTTTGGATGTGCTAAGCTTGGCATATCTACAGGAAACCTAATGTGAGATGTCCAATATGCAATTGGAGGTGTGATAGTGGACTGTCAGGAGAGAGGTTAGGGCTGGACAGATCTGAGAATCATTTGCATAGAGAGAGGGTAAATGAATTCCTGTGAGTGGATGAGATTACCCATCAAAAGAGCACAGAGGAAGAAGAGAAAAGGACACCTATGATGAGGGGGTCTCCTTTTCCTATCTCCTTCCATGTCCTTGGCCCTGGCTCTTACCTGTCCCTCCACCTGAGGATAAGTAACCCATTTCAGATCTGCCGTCTCCAGCTTTGTGTTCAGGAGGGTCTCTAGGAAAGATAGAAAGGCAAAATCAAGGTCAAGGAATTTGGGGGACAGGAAAGATGGACCCACTTATCTCTATGGGGGTAAAGGTTCTGAGGGAGATGAAACCTGACAATTCTAATTTAGTTGGGTTTTATTAGACAAAGGAAATGAAGTTGCAGAGGTGGGGGTGGGAATTAATCCTGTTTTTTTTTCCCCCTCACCCTCTGGTCTTCTTTTCTGTCTTTGACTGCCAGCTCCACCCCTAACAGCTGGCAAATGCCTGGTTCACCCCTGAGGGATCCCCAAGATCCTGGCCTTCTTCCCTACATTGGTGGATCATGGAAGAGAGCCTTTAAGTCTAGAAAGCAGCAGGTTAGGAAGGTGTTCAATTAGGACCATCAAGCACCCTTCACCCAATCTCACCAGTAAAACGTAATCTCTTGGAGACTGGGCAAGGTCTGTCATTAAAAAAAAAAATCTTTTAAACATATTGCCAGTGTCTAGCACAAGATGCTTAACAAATGTTTGTTGAATTTAGCTAAATAGAATTGATTCACTGACCCATAAGACATTGAACCCTCCCTTGTAGGGCAAAGGGCTGATCAAAAGGGAACATCACCCTCCCTCTTCTCTCAGGATCCAGGTTCCACTCTCACAGCCTCCACTTCTCTCTCCTCATGTCCTACTCCCCCCACCCAAGACATAGACATTCCATCCTTCAGACAGTAGTTCTTCCCTTTCAAGTATTGCTCCCCCACTGGGACACCCCCTCCCCCCCAAAAAAGTCCCTTTCCCCATCAGGATCAACTCTCATTTTCCAAGTAGGGCCTAGATGCTTGGGTTTCATGCCCTGGTCCCCCTATTGGGGCCTCACATCTGGATCTGGTTATGGGAAGGAAAAGGGGAGGAGATGAAGAAAGCCCCCCCCACCTCCCCCCCCCACACACACACACCTGGCTTTGCTTCTGCAGCTAGGAGAGGAGGTGGAGGCGGGGCTGGCGGAAGGAGGAGATTAATAGAAACTGCAGAGCCCTAGGCTGGGGAGGGGAAGGAAAAAAGGTAGGGAGGGAAATCCCCTTTGAATTGCTTGGCTAGTTGGAGCAAAATGCCTCCAAGGGCCCTGGGAACAGTAGAGGGTGCAGAGGATAGTTAGTTGATTTGAAGGGCAAGCCACTTGAGTCCAGGAAGAGGGACAGGGCCTGAAGGAGAGACAGAAAAGGTGAATGAGATAGCCTCTTCCCTTTCACTCAACTCTCTTCTCCTACCAAGGAAAGGGATTTCTCTCTCTGGCTCTGAGTCACTTGGAAGCCCCACCATCCTAAGGCAAAGCCGCCTAGCAACCCTCCAGGGGTGATTGGAATATTAGAGAAAGCTAGGGACAGGTTCTGGGAAGTGGATTGGAGGAAGGTAGAGGTCTCCTCCCTCCATTGTTTCCCTCAGAAAGAGTTTTTCCTGTCTCTAATTTATACACCATCTCTGTCAGTAATTTTCTCTATCTCTGTGTATCTCATCTCTAACAGAGTCTCTGTCTATGCCTCAGCCTCTCTTGGAACTGTCATTTCTGTCTCCCTTTTCACTACTCTTTCTCTCCCATTCTCTGTTTCCCTTTCCTATGTCTAGCTCCTCTCTCTCAATACTCAATTCTATTCCCCTCATATTGTGCATTTCTTTCATCTACCATCTGACAACTACATTCCTTTTTCTTCTATTTCTTTCTTCTAGTTCCTGAGGCCCTTTTTTCTTCTCTTTTCACTTTCCCTCTCCCTCCTTTTCTCTCTCTCTCATTCTTTCCCCCCAATTTTCCCCACAAGCCTTTTCCCTTTCCATCCCAGCCTTTTTGAGCAAAGAGAGTTTATCTTCCCTCTTCACATGCTTTTTGGCCTCCACTTCTCTTTGATCCATGGCCCAGTGCTCTGTGTTGCTCAGCCCTAAGAGAAATCGGGATTTTCCAAATACCTTTGATTCTTCCCCTTTACCTCCTCCATGGCCCACTCCCCAGAGACCCCCTTTGATTCCAGGCAGTCAAAAGGAGGGGGGGGGAGCTCATTGAAAGAGATCAAGGCAATAGGAAGGGGATTTATAGGGCTCTTGCCTCCCCCTCCAAAAGATTGGAGGGTGGGAGGGGGCCTGAAAGACAAACATATTTGAAGAAAGAGAAAAAAATGCTTACAGGATAACTAAGGAGCTGGTGCATGGGTGGCAGGGTTACTTAGCAAGAGTTTTGGGGTTTGGGGTGGGGACTGGGGTAGGGTCTATAGTAGAATTTGGGGTGCCAGAGACTGATTGGTGAGTACTGTTTGGTGACATGGAATATAACTCTGAGAAAGGTATCAGTGTAGGGGAAGAATTCCAGTCAAATTCCTTCATTTGAGAGCTAAACTGTTTACAGACATCTTAAGGGGTGTGAATGTGGATAGAGCTCAAGTTTTGGAATGCTTTGGGGCCTAGGTATAGAAGGAGAGTGTAAAGAGAACTGAAGTTCTGGGGCCTAGGTACTGGGGAGCAAACTCATATGGTTTGAGGAGGGGGTTGCTCCTGAGATGAGGAAGAGTTATTGAAGGCATTATTTGGATAATGGTAGTAGTGGAGGTAAGGCGTAAATTCACTGGCAAATGTCTCATTTGAGGAGGGGTCGCATTTGGGAGGAAGGACTATATTAATTTGGGGGTATGTACAGCAAGCTTAGGAGAGATAGAAGAGTTTGGAGAAAAGTTTATGCTATTAGGGGGAAGCTATTAGTGGGGGGAAAAATAAAGGGGCTTGGGAGGAAATTTTGAAGTCTGCAAGAAGAGTATGAGGAGCTGAGGTGGGGAAACGTTCCAGGACAAGGGATTCAACTCCCTCTTCTTTGCAAACAAAAGAAAAATCCACTTCCCTGCTGGGCAGCAGCCTACCTCCCCCCCCTTCCCTTCCTACCCCCACCCCCCAGCCACGAACTCCGATCCAGACCCTCTTCCCCAGCCCAAGGGCAGAAAGGCCAGGGAACGGGTGAGGAAAGAATCGATCCCATATCTCCTAAGCCAAACTTAAAGCCTCTGGGAATTGGGAGGGGAAAGTTCCCCCAAACTCACCCACCTTCTAGCGCAGAAGCCAAGGACGCCCAGCAGAGCAGCGCTCGAAACTCCATGGCGCCACCTGGTTCCCAATTAGATCCGAGTATGGGGGGCGCGAGCCCCCCCAGGTCTGAAACCTTCTGATTAGAAGCACAGTTCTTGCCCCCCGCACCGCTTTCTTTGCTCGCAGTCCTTTCAGTACCCCACCATACGGGGGGAGCGCAAGGATCCAGAAGACGCCCCAGATTAGAACTCCAAAAGTGTTTTTGCTTCTCCTCCCGAGGTGTGGGTATAGTCTATCCTTCTTTCTGAGTAGTTTAATCTAGAAAGTGTGGAGACCATAAGACTCTCTTAAGTTGGGGCACAGTCAGAGAGGTAGGGCTGGAGTTGGGGGATCTCTCTGGATTCTCAGGATCCCGCCCAGGGGCCTCTCCTGGCAGAATTGGGGTGCAGTTAGGTCTCCCTACCCCTTCTCTCCAATCACTGCTCCCACTGGGCCCCCAGAGTCCGCTCCCGCCAGCGAGGGAGAGAGAAAGAGAGGGAGGGGAGCAAGCACTAAGATGGGGCCTGAACCGGGGCAGGGGCTGGGACTGGTACTGGGGCCCGGGCCAGCGCCTCGGTTGGGGAGGGAGGGAGAGAGGAGGGACTGACGACCAAGGGAGGAGCGGACTGGCTGGGCAGGGCCCCCAGGGAGAGAAGGGGCAGGACTGCCCGGATTGGAGCCCGCGGATTACTGAATAATTCATGAGGAAAGTAGAGTTGGGAACTAAAAGGTGGGGGGGGGGGTAGATGGAGGAGGAGCCGGAAAGTTAGAAGAAAGTTTGGAAAAGAGGAAGGAGAGAGGGAGGCAGAGAGGGAAAGGAGGAAGCAGGGAAGGGGGGGCCAGTGTGCCGTGAAAGAGGCAAAAACACTGAGATACCCCTGGTAGAGGCAAAGAAATCGGGAAGCACTCAATAACCCTGTACTCAGAGTACAAGGGTTACACAGAGATGCAAACACACCAAACTACCATGCAATGCAGAAAACGTGCACAGAAAAATAGACCCATTGCCATCTATCCAACTTTAAGAGTCTAGTGGTCTCAGGTGTTCACTATTCTGCAATACTTGGCATTTGGTTGGGTTGCTTAGGCACAAAGGAGTGTATAGCAAAGAATGGAGACTGGAAATCTCCCATATACCTATGACAGGGAATAGAAATTGGTCCTACATAGTCCATTCTGAGAGAGATTGTTCAACATTTATTCATTCAATAAACATTTATTTGGTGTTTACTATGCTAAAGAATCATACATCAGGAATTGAAACAAAGAGCTCGGGAAATTGGGAACTGAAAAGTGAAAGTCAGGAGGTGCCTCTCCCACTTTCCTCACCACACACCCCCTCCCCTCCATGCCCTGCAGTGAAGCAGGCACAGACAAAAGGGAACTGAGTAGGATACCCAGTAGAGGAATCTCCAATCTCTAAGTCCCTGCCTCTCCATCGCACTCTCCCTAACAGTAGGAAACTCCCCCCTTTCCCAAGCTCTGACCTTTGGGGGGAGTGTCACCATAGCTACTTCCTCTGTCTTTCCTGAGGCTGTTTCCTGTCTGGCTCCTGGGGGCCCTTGGGACCTCCTTGGGAGGGGCCCTTCCTCTCACTACCCCACCCCTCTAATCTGCTCTGCTAGCAAGAGGGGGAGGAGCCAGAAGGACCCTTCTCTTCTTCCACCCCACCCCCAATTTCAGCAATTCCTTTTCCTACTTCTGAGCTGGGGTCAGGAGGAAGAGGAAAAAGAAAAGGGGAACATTTAGCACATTTGGGGTGAAGAAGTCTGGAGGAATGATGAAAGAATTGTAGGAGGGCTGGTTGATGAGGACACAAAAGTAGCAGGGCAGATTGGGGTGGGAAAGAGTAGAGAGGAGCTTGGAAATATTTGGGAAGCTGATCCCCTGCCTCAAACAGAGTAGACAGGTCTGGAATGACCTCTTAGCCCTTTAATTTATCTTACTACCCCAAGGGATGTCCCCCACACCCTGTCCTTGGGTCCAGCTAGGATAGGGCAGGGTGGGGAACATAGAGGGCAGGAAACAGCCTTCTCTTCTAAAGCTGGATGGAACAGGACTGAGAATCCCATCCTCAACCAACTCCCATCCCTATCCCACCCCTATCCCTCAACCTCTAAGCTCTGCTTCCAGGCTAGTCCAGTTAAGTCTGTGCCTCATTGTCCTACTCTTCTAGGTTCTTCTTTCTACTTTCCTGGCTCCCTAGAAGGTCTACCTCCCACATGTCTTACTGCGCTGAATGTCTATTTTTCACTTCTCTAGTCATTCTCTCCCTCCATCCTCCCACTACTTCCACTACTTCCACTTTTCCAGTCTCCTTCCCTGGCTCTCTTTCACCTCCCCCCCACCCAAGTCCTCTCTGGCCCTTGATCCCTGGAATGTCTGCACAGCTGTTTCTCATATAGTAGGGATACTTTGCATCTTTCCTGGAGGGAAAAAAAAAGGAAGAAAGAGACATAACTAGAGATGGAGAGAAGTGAACAAAATGTGGCTGTGGTAGGCTTGGGGGTCTGATGGAATCTAGAAGGTGAGGTAGAAAGGTAGAAGGATTTAGAAAAAAGCAATATTATTAACTGACCAATGTTTTTTTTGTGTGTGTATGTGTGTGTGTGTGTATGTGTTTTTTTTTTTGTGAGGCAATTGGGGTTAAGTGACTTGCCCACAGACATACAGCTAGTAAGTTTTTTTAAATGTGTCTGAAACTAGATTTTAACTCAGGTCCTCATGACTGTAGGGCCAGTGCTCTATCCATTGCACCACCTAGCTGCCCGTAAATAGTTGAACTTTTACATAGCATTTTCAGGTTTACAAACTACTTTATATACATTATCTCCTCTTGGTAACCTACTGATGTGGGTACTATAGGTCTCATGACCATTTTACAGATATGGAAACTGAGGTTACATATTTTGCCCATGGTCACACAGCTAGTAAATGTCAAGGGTAGAATTCCAACTTACAATATCCCTGAATCCAAGGTCAGTACTCATTCCACTAAACTATACTGTCTTCTTTAGGAAGAAACACTCTCTCAACTACATCATACTGTTATATGAAATTTTTGCCCAGCAGTGCCTTGAAATATAGGTAAGATTATCATGCTTTCTGTTAAGAGGTCAGTTTCTTCTCTTCTCTAAATACAATTAATAATTGTAATAATTATAATTAATTAATACAATTAATTTGTTTCATTCGTTCATCAGATGTATGTGTCCCAGTCATGTGCTCAGCACTGCAGTGGATACAAACTTTAAGGCACAGTCCCTGATCTCCAGGAGCTTACTCTGATATTTCAATGTAGGTGATCTGTCCAGCAGTGCAGGTCCAGCAATCTAACGATGCCTTTTCATCTTAGGTGCATGTTTAGTCATTTCAGTCATATCTGACTCTTCATGACCCCAGTTGGCATTTTCTCGGCAAAGATGCTGGAGTGGTTTGCCATTTCCTTCTCCAGGTCATTTTACAGTTGAGGAAACTGAGGTAAACGGGATTAAGTGATTTGCCCAGAGAACATACAGCTACCAAATATCTGAGGCCAGATTTGAACCCAGAAAGATGAGTCTTCCTGACTCCAGGCCCCAGCACTCTATGCACTATAGCGCCACCTAGCTGCCCTCATATTATACATTTCCTATACTAAGCCTTGTAACAGGACATCTTAAAACTGGTTCTGTGATTTTTAGCTCCAGCATCAAAATCAAAACAGTAATGAGAGAAGTAGCTGTGATGCAGTGGAAGAGCATCGAACCTGGGGTCAAAACGTCTGCACTTGCTGAATGACCTTGGATAAGTCACGTCACCTTCGGCCTTAGGGTTTTTTATTGTAAAACAGGGATAAATACTACCTTTTGGAGATCATTATGAGGATCAAATAAAATCATATTTGTAAAGTTCTATTATATAAATGTCAGCTATTGTTATTAGAATTGTTTTGAGACCTCTCATATTTAAGCTTTCCACTAGGAGGCACAGTGGATAGAGTACAGGACTGGAGTGAGGACAACTCATCTTTCTGAGTTCAAATCTGGCCTCAGACACTTACTAGCTGTGTGAATCTGGGCAAGTCACTTAACCCTGTTTGCCTCAGTTTCCTCCTCTATAAAATGACCAGGAGAAGGAAATGGCAAACCACTCCAGCATCTTTGCCGAGAAAATGCCAACTGGGGTCATGAAGAGTCAGACACGACTGAAACAACTGAATAACAACATTATCTTTCCCATAGACAGTAAAAAAAAAATCATACCTCTTTAATTCCACAATTAATTCAAAATATCAAGACTTTGATTTCATGATGTTGAACCTTTCCTAATTTAGGCTAGTCTAAGACAAAGAGACATGAGGTCTGTCACTGGGCCAATATACTACCAAACCAATATACTGTTTAAAACGAGCAACTCTCATCTCATATAATATTCATGTTATGAGTAGGGGGTTTCTAGAGCCAGCTGTTCTCAGCTCCAGAAGGCTGGTTGCTAAATTTTCAGTGTGAACATTTACACCTCAGAAATCAGCAAATTTATCAAATCAGGGTTTTGTTTATTGTTCCATTGATTGTCTAGACTTAAGAAAGTATTGGATAAAATGTTAGTAATGCAGATTAAACTTAAAGATATGTCCTGTGCACTTTTGTTTCTTTTGGAGAGTCAGTTGTAAAACATTTACCAACATACTACTGGTTATAAGCCTTTTCCCATTATATTGAATATAGGATTCTGACCCATATTCCACTGTATGAGATTATTCTCTCTCTCCCTTTCTAACTCAAGAAGATAAATGTAACCTCACAGGCATTATTGAGACTTGGTAGAATATAAACCCATAATTGGACTACTTTACATGGGTATACTTGATTCAAAAGAAGCAAGATAGGTAAAAGGAAGATGAGGTAGCATTGTACTTTAAGAAGATATACTCATGTGATCAAAGTCAGGAACCAGAAGGGAAAGCACGGTGGGGAGTGTTTGGGTGAAAATCAAAGGAGAAAGAAATAGAAGTGATTTAGTCATTGAAATGTATTACAGACCACCTGGGCAGAAACAAGAAATAGATAAGGAATTTGGCAAAGAGATCGTAAGCCAGGCACAAACACATGAAATAGAAGGAATGGAAGACTTCAATTATCCAGACATCTACTGGAGCTCTCTATCAAAGGCAGTAACATGCTAATAACTTCATATTGTGCCTTCATCATAATTTCATCTTTCATAAGGTAGGGGAACCAACAAAGGGAAATTCTATTCTGGATCTGATTAACTTGGAGGTTGGAAATGAAGGGAACTTTGGGGAGATATGACATCTTCCTCCTACAGTTTATAATAGAGAGGAGGAAATCTCAGTGCGGTTGGACATGTACCATCCATTTTGGGAAAGCAGATTTCAAAGAGTTCAGAGGAAAGATAGGTAGGATCCCAGAAAATAAAATGATTCATTGAAAGTCATCCAGAAAAGATGGGAAAAGGTTAAGAATGAAAGTCTAGGGGGCGGCTACACTAGCCCTGAAGTCAGGAGGACCTGGGTTCAAATCCGGCCTCAGACACGTGACAATCACTAGCTGTGTGTGACTCTGGGCAAGTCACTTAG